ATTGAAATCATTTAAACATAACAAGAAAGTAATAAATTCAATAATAAAATGTTATCTTGATTTTTAAGATCAAAATAATGTAGACACAATTGAATTTCATATTGCAGTAGTACAATTTCTAAATCTGAATTAGCGTAGAACAAAATTGTCGATTTTCAATTTAATCATAAAGTCGGAAATGAAATTTATGTACTTGAAAAAGTTAAGCAGATACGTGGAAATGTTCGAATATGCCAACAACTTATTGAATTTCTCTCCTTCTGTTAAAATAATTTCTCGACAAACTTGAACAAATATAAAATTGAACTAGAAAACCAATATAATTAATAGGATACTTTTCATTTAATTAAATTTTTCTTTTTAAAAGGGAATTTAAATTTATTTAATTCGATCAAATAGAAAATATGTAAACCCACAATTCGTCTTAAAAAACTAAAACGGACTGAAAAGGGGCTCCTGAAAATTTTTAAGATTAGTATTTTAAATTAGTAATTTTTATTCAAACTGCATTCCATTATAGATAAAAACACACATAATTCTGAAAAACATTCCTTATTAACTCTTACATATAGTAAAATATCTAAGTAATCATTTAAATAATAAAAATTAAAAAATAATTTTTTTCTCACAAGGATTGTTATTTATTACTATGTAGGTAAGTAAATAGAATATGGGGATTTGATTTTTTTCCTTTTTTAGTTTATAACTTGAAAAATTTTGAGTTAGTTAATTAATTCTGTCTTTTAGATACAAGTCGGATATTGGGAGAAATAACGACTCAACCCAAACTCAAAAATATAACTTCGACTTCCGGACTTTAAAGTCGGTATTTATAGCCAAGTGTTAATTACTATCGAAGGCTAAAAAACATCAGTAAAGAATTATGCTACAAGTATGTGAACTAATTTTCTGCATTATTTTTTTTATAAAAAACCTTAATAAATAGTAATAAAAGTCAGTTTGCGGCCCTACCTTTTGACATTAATATCATTGTTCTCGGAAATGTGCGATATATAGATTTGTATTTGTATATATTTATATAAGTAATATTATCTAATTCAAATTCACTTTTTATTTAGATATAATTATGCAAAAAAAATATGTATTTGAGAAATCAAAGAATTGTCATTTTGGAAGTTGGTGTTTTGCAACATTGTTTACCTTTACTTGTAACTACCTAATCGAACAATTTCATTTTGAAATGGAAATAAATTCACAAGTAAATTTCGATAGGCTCGCTTGAATAAAACGTTTATGTACATAAAATACAGACACACATATGTATGTAAAATTACTGAATATTCACTGGAACCTAAGGCAAAAGCAAAAAAATATACCTACGATATAATAAATATGTACCTACCTCCTATCAATATTCTGTCGTTTTTCCTAGATAATAAAAATTAATATAGGAATTTACACAGATACATAACACTACTACGATCTAGGAAGTACTTGTTTCTGATATTTGGTTCTGTTACGGGTAAAAGATATTTTCAATTACAAACATATGTATGCACTTATTAAAAAGAAAGTTGATTAATATTAATATTTTTATAAAAAAAGATTTAAGTATAGACAAAAGTAAACAAACTTTTTTTCTTAAATACCCTACATCAGTATGTGCGTGAAACTCATAAACGCACGAAAGAATATCAAAAAGATTTAAAAAAAAAGATATTTTTCCAATTAATACTTCTTTTTTATTTCAGTGCAAAACCTGCATTTCTGCACCTTCACCAGAAAATATTAAAACAATTTTCTAAAATTAAAATTCACAATTGTTATAAAGTGTCACAATTTTTGACATGGTAAAATTTTTATAGGCTCAATATAAAATATGTATGTAGCTATTTTTTTTTCTAATTTTATTTTTAAATTTTTTAAAGAAAATTATGTACTTTTATTTTGCTAATGGTTAATAAAAATGTAATAACTTTTTAAAGTATATATTTCTAAAATAAGCTAAGATGGGGTTTTAAGTATTTAAAAACAATCGGTGTTTATATAACACAGGTGTTATTTAATCTCGATTTCCTAAAATTATGTATTTTTGCTCAAAATCAAATTTTAAATTAATTTACATATTGAACGAGCCAGAACCCGTCCTTTATAAGTAAGTGAAAAAGCTTTGAAAAAAATTCAAAAAACAACTGTTGTGCCAAGTCAGTTTCATATTTATGCAATCTTGGAAATAAATTATTCTGTCATCACCATGAAAAATGCTCAAAGGTTTCATACACCACTCTTTTAACTAAAAGTAACTCTAAGAAACTATTGTGAATTTTTGCGGTAAAATTAATTATGTAAAATAAAGAAGGCTAACACTTAATTTGGTGTTGCTTTTATCCATTTGTCTCATTCTAACATGTACAAAATGAATATTGCATTGCAGACGACGCATTTTCATTCTTGCTCATTTTCCATTAACTCATTATCAGCAGATACAGAAATCAGAACAAAATTTAGTTTGTTGGTATATGTATATATAAAAAAAAATGTAGTCCTCCTATTCACTGAATGACTGATCTAAACTGCCTCTTCGCACTTTTATGTAAAAATTTTTGTATTACCTTTTCAACCTTTTTCAGATGTTAAAATTATTTTGTATCGAAATTTTTTCACATGCACTACAAAATACAAATCAAAACTTACTATCATTTATATTTATACTTTTTAAATATTCAATCGTATAACACACAAATTACTGTTCTTAAAACTGTTCTAATAAAAGCTGATTTTGAGATTAACTACATACACTAACGTTTACCAATGACTTTTTTTTTATAAGATTTTTAGTGTGTTAAATAACATATTTGTCACTGTGTTTTTCATTGAATTTAATAAAAGTTAAACAATTTTTCAACAAATTTTATTGCTCATGCATAGTGCTGCAAAATATTTCTTTATATCGGTCGAACCCGATTTTTTTTTTTTAATTTTACTACTAAAAAAAATTGCTTTGACGTATATACTTCGGTATATTCACAATTTATCCGCAATTTTAAATCATTTACTTAATTTATATTAAATATTTCCACAATTCCAAATAATTTAATTGATAAAATAATTAAATTTTTACAAATATTATCAATTATTACCGTGCTCCTTATTTTTTATTTTATCGAATAATTTACTTAATTACTGAACAAAAAGAAATTCCTCACGACGTTTTTCCACAGAAGCAGAAAAAGTTAAAAGTTATGCAGAAAAGTTGGTAGCCATGATTTTCAATGAAAGAGGCAATCATATAATTTTTCAACAGAAACTGAAAAGCAAAAAATAGTTCATTAAACTTCGTTAAGTTGTAAAAGTCCATTGTACAATATCAATTCACAATAAACAAATAACGTATATTAAAATCTTAAAATATGTTTTAGTCAATAACCGCACATGCAGGCTGATGAGAAACCAAATAAGTACCAAAACTGTTCAACAAAATATGCTACGTATGATATTTTAATATTATTTGTTCCTTCTAACCTTTTACGACCAAATGATCCTACAATTTTAATAAATAACGCCGCGAATATACTTTCCCAAAGAAGATTTTCACAACTTAACATTCATTTCGTTTATATGGCGAATCGAGTACTTGACTTGAAACTTCAATCTACATATATACTGAACATACATATTGAAATAATATTACTTGAAATCGCCCTGAGTTTGACATTAGCTGACAAGTATTATACAGGATCATCATTTAGATTTTAGATTTGAGAGCGTCAAAAAAATGAATAAAATTTTTCTTCAGAACTAGGTGTAAAATCTCAACGGTTTTCGTGATACAGAAATTTCAAACAATTTTCACGAAATTCTTGCACAAGTTTTTACGTTCCTCTAACCACATAACTTTCGTTTTGTTTTACACAATTTGTCAAAAATAATACAAAAGAAGCAGATAAACTATTCTATGTCAGATAAAAAAAATATAATTATTTTTGATTTTTAAATATTTTAGGTGCTGATTTTAAATTATCAATTATCATTAATTTTTGTTTACAAAGATTACTCTAAAAAGCAGTTGACATTTTTAGGAAATTTAGATAAAAAAATTTTAAGATTTTTATTGAAATATATAAAATAAGTACTGTTAAATTTTTTGGGAAATTCTCTCTACAAATAAACCTTTTCAGTGGTTCTGCGAGCAAAATTTTTAACCGTAGATTACCGATCTACTCAAAAGACCAACTGTTGTTATCTCATTCACTCTTTCTAGGAGCTTAGTCTCTTGGCCAGCAAGGCCCGTATATTTAATTTCCGCTTATACCGACTCCCTGAACAACTTGAGCAATTGAGCATTTGTAGCAAAAAATTTGAAAAAAGTAGCACCATGGGAAGTTGGCTCTAAAATGCATAGGATTCAAATAAAATTCTTCAAATTCAGATTTTTTAGTAAATAAAGGTTCTTAAAAGTGTCAACAGCCTTTAAGAATGATAATTTTTTGAGGTTAAACATTTTATTAAGACCTTTAGAATCTTAAACTACAAATGGTTTTTTTCTCTATCTCCTATACCATATTGTCATTTTCAGTTCTTCAATAAGTATTTCAGTATATGCAGTCGATTTTTAAGTCCAGTTAATGATTTTATGGCAACGACTTGACTTGGAAATTCCAAACCAAGTAGTGTTTATATGAGCTCGAAATCCAGTTGGAATCAAGCTGCATGTAAACGCAGTAATTATTAGAGATTTAGCAGGTTGCAAATAAATTTAATTATGCTTTTGCATTTTTTAACATTTCGAAAACTATACCCATGCCCCCATGCTAGCTTTTATACGAGTATTGTTTTGTTGGTGTTACAGAGAAAGCAAAAGTGCTACTTCACTTTCTACACTTTTTGCCGGATAAATCAGACTTGAATCAATGTTATAAAAATTCACAAGTTGTAGTGAATAACATTGGCAGTTGTAAATGACCTCGTTCATGAGAAATTTATTCAAAGCAAAAAGAACTTACATATTATATCGTTTATATAAAAAACTTTAAACTATTTACTTTAGGTCAGTTTATTTTCTTATTCTTCTTATCTTTATAAATTATTGTAGCTTTTTTAAATAATATTGTTAGTCTTTTCAAACAGTAGAAGCAAACAAAAAAAAACCCTTTTGAAAACTCCTGCAAAAAAAAATATAGTTGGAAGATATTTATTTCGCTTCGCCTTAAAAAAAAAATAGAAGTTATTGCTAGTATCTTGAAGCATTTATGTTTCTGTTTAATCTTGGATCATTTGTACGCTCAGCATAAGTGTAAGGCTGTGGTAAAAATCCAGAGTTTGTCGGTGTAACTGGATATAACGCAGAATTTTGTGATGGATATGGCGGATTAATTATAGGAGGTGGAGGAGCACGAATTAAGTCATTCGTCGTAATGAATTTTGACAATAATGCCGTGTTATCAACACCTTGTGGTTGAAAAGAAAGTGTTCCAGGCACATTACATTGTTTTTGACCTTCTTGAAAGTAATGCAACAGTTTATCTCTTATGTTTAATCTCAAAGAACTATCCGCTGTATGCCAATTATTCTCTCGAAGTAACATGGCAAAATCGTTCACAGCTAATAATTCATTTGCATTTAAATAAGGTATCATTTTCAAAACTGGTAGCTCTGATTGTTGTGATGTTTGGGTCCAAGTATCCCGCGTTTTACATTTTGCTAAAACTGCAACATTACGCTTTGAATGTAGAGATCGCTTCAAACACTCCCCGCAACCCAAATCCATTGTTTGTGTAGAATTACTAACATAAAAAGTGGAATGATCACCAGATTGCTTATCTATAGTTTGGCTTTGAATTTTTTTACATCGATTTTTTCCAAAGTTATCAATCCACTCATTCAATACCGCAATATCTAAACCTAAAAGATTTGAGATTCGCGTGGTATTTTCTGATAAACTAATCAAATTAAAATCTCTGTAGTTAATTTTGCAATTAGTAGAACTAAATTTGTATCTAACATGATCGCTTCTTAATAATGGTGATTTATATTCTTTTTCAATATCTGTCAACGGGATAACCAATTTTGTTGGAGTATAGAGAAATCTACTAAAAAATGGGTCTGTTTTAAATATCCGTAATCGCTTCAAAGCTTTATTGCAATTTTTGAGAACTGAAATTATTTATAGCATGATATTTTTTTTTTAAATATTAATTAAGGTTTTACCTTGATCCATTTTTACTTCATTTGAAACTGGCCGTTCCGCTGAAACAAGTATTGTGCAATAATTAGAATATTAGCACTAGAACTATTTTTTTACAAACCTTTTATTTTGTCAAGTGGAGAATTATCATTTTTTGAAAATATCCCTGCGACGAAGTTCGGTTTGTTTACTTCGATTTCTTGTTTAATTTTTATGCGAGCTGAAGGCTTTTGGGATTCTTTATCATTATTTTCTAAGATTCCAGGCGAGGATGAATGATTATAGTTAAACACTTTTCTGGGAAACTGCATACAATCTCCTAAAACTTCTTTTGTTCCGTTAACATCTATGCACGATTTTTTTATTTTGTCAACTATATGATTAGGCGATGATTTTCTCTTCTTGCTTTTGCCATCTGTAAAGTTTTTATATTTAGATTATCTTTTTGTGCGCTCGTATTTTGGAATTTTTTCTTTAAATGTACCTGTTTGAACAGAAGTATCTTCCTCTTCATCAATACTAATTATTACTGGATTTGGCTCTATTGGAATAATGTCATCAATATCATCACTAATTTCATCTAAAAAACTTAATACATCGTGATCTACTTGTTCTAATGGTTGAACTTTAACAACAACAGGCATGGGGGGGGTTACACATCGTTTATCAATTTTTAATTTATCATCATCTTCTATTTTAACCTGAATTTCTTTTAACTCCCCTTCGTAACTTGTAACTTGTTTTACATCACGTTTTTGCTTTTTTACGATCGGTTTGGGATGAATAACACAACTTTCATTGTCCTCAGATCTTAAGCTTGGGATTTCTTGAATATCAGCCTTTTTTACTGGTTCCTCTTTGATTTTAATAGGAATTGGCAAACTTTCGGCTTTGTTTAGAGCATTTTCATAGCCAAAGTCTGCCTTTTCCTTTTTAATTTTTACAAAATCTTTATCGGAACTCATCATGTCACGATGTAAACAAATTAATTTTCTGAGTAATTTTAAGAGACTACTTAATAAACAGATAATCTTGTTCAATAACCAAAAGTAATCAATTATGATTCGTTGCCACCATGCGACATTATTTAAAAACTGTTTTAGATTGCAAATCTTATGTATTTTTCAAACATTGTAAAACTTCTCGGGAGTTTGATTGGATTCAGGGATGTCAGGCTGTGCTCTGATCAGATAAAAAAAATGTTATCAAAATAACGAACACGGTATTAAATAATTTAATGTTATTATGCTGTCAACGAATGACTCATTCTGTCGTTAATGTACATAATGCTGTTATTATTCATACATAATAAATTTAAGATTTATTATGTATGAATAATAACAGTAATAAGTGATCACAGTTAAGCATAAACTCAAAATAACAACAAAGTTTTAGAAATTACTTAAGTTAAATACAATTTCCATTCAACTAGTTTTGACATTTCTAAATGCCCAGTTTCTAACCGTAATTTCGTTTAGGCGAATTGAAAAGCGCTATAATAACAACGCTATAAATTTGCAAAACAAAATTTTTCCTACTTGATGCTTTTTTTGCGTCAATCTCACATCTGTTTGATATTTGACTTAACGATTTCTGTTCTGTCAAATCTCAACGTATTATTAAAAGAGAATTATTGTTATTGAGATTTATCTTGTTATTTTCACAACGTAGGTCGTAGACTACTATCTGCACATATTACAATAGTTGGATTCATTGGTTCGTCGTTTTTGAACTGATCTATTTAAAGTCGAATTACTTTTTCTCTTGATTGTTTATTGGTTCTTTTGAAAAAAGCTGATCGTTTTTTTTTTTTGTTATAATGCATTTATTACTTTTTTGACAAGAATTATATGTAATTGTGATAGTTTAGTACATATATATAAATTTGAATTTAAAAAAAAACTCCGCACTAAAGTTGAAGTTGATTCAACTTTTTGAGGAAGAGAAAAAAAAACTGATAAAAATAAAAAGAATGTCAAGAAAATTTTCATGAAAAATGCATCAGCTCGTCGTTTAACTGACGAACCAATGAATCCAGCTTAATAAATACAGTAAATTTTAATTGTACACCGTCTCGAGAGTAAATATTAATTTGAACAAGAAAGAACGCTCTGATCACAGTCAAACGTAAAAATAAAGAAAAATTAGGTAGCACAACTGTCCTCCTGTAGTGAACTGTGTACTCCAGGAAAATTATATATTCAGAAATTATCCTAGACGATTACAACTGTTAGAATGCACAGAATATTTTGAAGGTAATTGAAAAAGCCATGATTTCATTGCCATGTAACAGTTTTGTTAGCAGAACTTGAAGAACTCGTTGCATGGTACACGGCACCTGTTGAATGGCGTCGCAAGCTATATAACGTTTGATTTGCTGTACCACTGGCCACTGCTTATCCATTGTTAAAGCATAGAATAAGTAATTCGGATTGTGTGATATTTATAAAAATTTTTGTTTTGCTACTCGAATTATCATATGATTGCTAGTTTTGGGATTTTACATCTTTTGTAAATACAATATAATATAATGTGTGTGATATATAATGTATGTTTGTGTTTAGGTAAGATATATAATAATGTATGTATTTACTATATAATATTATGCAGGTTATGTTTGCGTTGGTGTGTAATGCAATGTATTCACATTGGCGTTTCTTGTTCAAATGAAATTTGCTTGTTTTGATTATTCTTCATTTCGAATATCTGTTTCTACTGCGATATATTTTATTTCTTTCTTATAACAATTTTTCTGCGTTACGTACATGTAGAAAATTACATTTAATTTTATAATAAATTTTGGAAATTTTTGAAAGTTTAGCGAAACGCGATATAAATAATCACAGCGATTATATTTTGCGAAATACGGTTACAGATTTTTTAATTCTGGGATAAAAAAAAAAAATTAAACAATAAATAAAAAATGAAGTATACATTCCCACATATATACATACATATGTACATAAGTATGTATGTATGTGTGTATGCATATAATTCTGTACTGCATATGTACATATATACATATGTAAGTTCAATACACTTATGTATGCACTTCTGACACCTTTATTATTCCTTTATTATTAAAAATCGTACGTACTTCAAAATTGACTACTCAATTTCTTGTTCCAAAAAAACTCAACAAGCAGAGCCTCATAATATAACCTACATATATGTATACGTATCTATACGCATATAACAATACTAACTTGATAAGTATAAGAATACGTCTGGTTTTTATCAGGAATGGATAGATTTATACCTACATATAAGTATAAATATTCGCAAACAAAAGCTTCCTTTATAATGTTAAAATTGGTCTATTAATATTAATTAATACATAAATTTTATTTTTATCACTTGTAGCTTATAATATTAAATATTTTTGCTAATTTATACATTGTGTACGTGTAAGTAATACGTAATAGTAATGCCGTTTTACACACATCGCAGACAGTACATATATTGCAGTAGAGCTGGATTCTCTTGTTTACCGTTTTTGCAACAAACTGATGTATTTTGAATGAAATTGACATACTCCTTATTTAGTGCGGAATTTAATTCAACTTTTTGAGAGAAAGAAAAACTTAGGGCAGTTCTAAACTGCTGTTTTTATTAAAAAAAGTTTCTAAAAATCCGTTCAGCGACGGACAAATGAACCAGTTTAGAATTTTATTTGAAAATTGAATAAAATTATGAGTTTTTTGCTGGATAAAAACAATAAAAAATATTTGTAAGTAGAATGTAAACTAGTAAAGTAAAAAGTAAAACTATCACAATTAAGTATGTCCGCATTAAATGAAAATTTCTACAAATTTTATAAAAGTCCAAAAAATATTGGATTACGCAAGCTTGAATTGAATTGATAGATTCGAACATGTTCGAAAACTTCAATAAACAGTATACCTGATTACGAATACTACAATTACAGTACTTACGGTAACACTTGTAGCTAATTGAATAGGCTATTATTTATATGTATTGATAATTGATACGAAACTCTTTATTACACATTTATTTGCACAATTATACATACGTGCATTTATGGAGTAGGCAATGTACAAAACAAATTTTGTAATCAAAAACAAAAATACTTAGGTATTGAAATTATATTTTAAATTTTTGATAACACGACATTATTTAATATTTCACATATACATAGGAATTCCAAGAATATATAATAATAAAACAAAAATTTAATCATTCTCATTTGGTTATCTGAAGTCTTGCTTTATTCAATATTATACAGCTTTCAAGTGAAAAAAAAAGTTTTTGTTCATTTAAACTTTAATTGTTTTTCAATAAACTGTGTAATAAGATGTTTCTTTCAATTCTAAAATAAAGCTAAATAAAATATAATTTAACAAAGCAAATTTAATTAAGAATTTAAAAACGATTATACCTTATTTAATCGCATATATTTTGCATATCTAATGCATAATAATATTTAAGATTTTCTAATTCTGGAATAATAAAATAAACAAAAATAAAATATTGAAAAAATGGAAGTATATACATCTGATAGCAGTGACACAGATTCCCGGGAGCAGAAAACGCTTGATTATGGCAGAATGAACTTAAGTTCAAGTTTTATCGAAGAAAATATGTTTTCAATTTCTGTAAAATCTAATCGTACCAGAGAGTTTACTGATATTGAAACCTGTCTAATTAACCATAATCAATTAAATGTATTACCACCATCATTATTTAAATTTATTAATTTGAAAATATTGGATTTGAGCAATAATATGTTGAGTCATTTACCAGATGAATTATTTAAATTACCATTAAATAAACTTGTAGTAAAAAACAATCTTTTAACAAACGAATCATTACCAAAATCGTTTTTAATTAATAAAAATGGTGTTTCAATGTTAAAGGAATTAAATCTTAGTGGAAATATGTTAACTCATTTTCCTGAACAAATATTAGATCTGCACAAATTGAGATATTTGTATTTAGGTGGAAATAAAATTCAATCAATTTCAAAAGAAATATGGAAAATGAATGGGTAAGTCGTGTTTTATAAAAAATATTGTATACCTACATTTGTTCTTATATAATAAACATTACTTTTATCGAAATTATGGAGGTCTTCCTTATAAAGGTTGAAGTATTGTTTGGAGTTTATATAAGGGTTTTTTTTTTTAGAAGAAATAATGACGTTAGGTCACAATATTTTTTAAAAATTTCTATCCAGGGCCGGATTTTAATTTAAAACTTTTCAAACAATATATGAATATATTGAATTCAAATACAAAAATGTAAGAACGAACACTCTTCATTCCCATTCAAGTACGAATTTGCTATAATTAACTAAAAAAATTTCGAATTGGTTAAGCAAGTAGAAATTTTTGCCTTACTTTTGAAATATTTTCTTTGAACGTAATTCTAATAATCGTTATTTTGTCATTTAATTTATTATACAGATTTAATTAAGTTATCTGCATAATAAATTAAGTGACAACGGTATATAAGATTTCTACACATATACATACATAACATTTTGTATAAATTTAAAAAAAGTTACTAACACATTCATATTTAAATTTAAATTTTTGTTTTTTACGTTTGGCGGGTTGGATGGGTTAATTGAACCTGTTGACTCCGAAAATCTTAGGTCGGGGCTATTTTTCAGGGTTAATTTTTAAATATTATTTTAATTACGCATTAATAATAGTATATAATACTTAGATCAATGTAATGTAGCGTAATAAAAATTATACCAAATAAAGATGAACTATAGTTAAAAAAGTTAAAAATGGAATATATGAATTGTTTTTTCTTTTTTTTAATTTGTCACAAATATATTATGCAACCCGTACGATTAGAATAAATTTACCACATTGAACAAAGGGTTTCATAAAAACATTTCCGACAATTGTTCAAATTGAAACTCACATAATTAAAATTAGACTAATTTCTCTCCTTTTCTATACAATTAAAAAAAAGTACAGAAAAATATTGCAGGACCGCCTCACAAATATATTAATTCTATGATGCTTCCTGCATTTTACCTTTTGCTAAAATTAAAATACATTGCTCAGTGACTACTCTACTCAGTAATAGAAAACAATAGCGCAAGTATGAATAGGTGACCGAGTTTATATTAAACACTTTTACAATGAAATTAAGTAAAAATATATATATATATATAAATTTTTTTTAATTACAGATTACAAATATTATCCATAGGCGGGAATTTGCTAACTGAAGTTCCTGATACAGTTGGAAGTTTGAGTCAGTTAAAACTTTTGGTTTTGGTATGATATTATATATTAAACACACTTTCAATATACACACATTTATTTTTATTTCAGTCTGATAATCAAATAGAATGTCTTCCTTCAAGTATAGCTCGTTTGAAAAATTTGAAATCTTTGAAACTTCACAAAAATCATTTAAAACATTTACCGAAAGATATTGTAGCTTTGAAGCATTTAACAGAAGTAAGGAATGAACTATAAAAAAATATCATACGTTAAACTTAAAGTTATTAAATTTCTTTTAGTTGAGTTTAAGAGATAATCCGTTAGTTGTGCGGTTTGTTCAAGATATGGCTTTGAATCCTCCAAGTTTAATGGAGTTAGCTGCACGTGTAATTAAAATATCTGGAATAAAGTACAAACAAGATGATCTTCCGAAAACTACGATCGAATATTTAAATAATGCTAATTGCTGTGTCAATCCTAAATGCAAGGGAGTTTTTTTTGACAATCGAGTTGAACATATTAAGTTTGTTGATTTTTGTGGAAAATATCGTGTTCCTCTATTGCAGTACTTATGTTCTTCAAAATGTATTGAGCCGTTCAGTTCATCTAGTAGAAGTTCAACAAGTTCAGATTCAGAAGCATCCAGTTCAGAACAGAGTACAAGTGGATACATGATGAGAAAAGTTTTACTTGGTTGATTTTTGTTTGTTTGCACATGCTTATTAACATACACTTACCATTTATCTTGCGAATTCAAAGCTGACAATTTAGTTTTGTTACTTAAATTAAATTAGTAAAATAGTTATTTTTAAATAATGTGATACATACATATGCATTTCGAAAATAGAAAATGAACTTCAATTGGAAACAATGGTTCACAAAAATATGTCTTATTTGAAAAACTTCTGCATTAATGTAAAAAATGTTCCACTACACATTTGCCGTTGTAAAATATTGTATTTTGTTATAAACTGTAAAAAAGTATACATTTGTAAGAAAGTTCTTAAAAACTTTTCTACTTACAGAACCTTTAAAGTTAGAAGAATCTTAAGAATACATTTACTAAAGTTGTTGGGATTGAAATATATTTAAGCAGTTGCTTTGAAAAGTTTTCAAAATTTGTGAAATTCGGCTGTCACATTTTTTGCATTCATTTTTGCATGTTGTTCAAAACGTAGGAGTTTTTAAAAATTTAGATCTAACTTAGATGTTCTAGATAAAGTATGTTCGAACATCAAAACTATAAAATCTTCAAATATAGCATGTTCGATAAAAGGGTTTCTTTTGTATAATATCGTAACATGCTAAGAAATCTAAAGCTTTTTTAAAAATTCTTTTTAAAAGCTGTCAAAATATAACTATAAGTTATAATAAGATACTAAAATGCGTAAGATATTAAAAATCCAAAAATATAAACTAGTTAGCTCCTGTTAGTTCTCGCTAATTAGGTAATTTTACAGCTATGAAAAAAGCATCAATGAAGTCATGACAATTTTTCCAACAGGTGAATAATCGTGTATATGTATAATGTAGTATAATGTAGAACACAACCAAATAAAATGATAGTTTATAGAATATTTTTGCTCCTTTTAATGTTTTCTTTGTCTGCTTTCTCTTTTTGACCTTGATGCAGGTAATTTTCTGAAATTTTTTTGAAATTATGATATAATAACTGCGCTTCAATAATATTGCATATAAAAATTTGGCAATATAATATTATAACTAGATAAAATAATTCTATTTTTAGTACGGCTTTAGTGGGTTATAAAAAATTGTCAATAACATACCTAAGACTTTGAAATAATTTTGAAATAATTTAAAATTTTGGAAATAAAATTATTAAAATTCAATTCAAAAATATTGTATATGAAAATAAAATAACGAATATTACTAAATTAATTTAGAAAATTGGTCGTTAGAGGGCTGCCATTATTTATGTAGCTGCCATCTAATGTTCAACTCTCAAATAAAAGTTAAAAAGAAAAGTAAATATAACTAAAACGTGACAAGATGTAATTGTTATTGAAATATATCATCGAAATTCTATTCGAAGAGTTTCGATACAAAAAAAATAATTATTATTAATTCGTCTTTAACCTTAAAGATATTTAATTTTCCTTTAGATATTTTGAATTGCATTTGTATACATTATTTTTTTACCGTTTAAAATGGTTTCAAAAATTCCAAATAAAAAAAAAAATTTTTGACGTTTAAGAAAGAAATAATATCAAATTTGGTCCAAATAGAAAGGTAATGCTAAAAAAATGATTCAGACACAGTTTTTTACAGTTTGTTGTCTTGATTGATTTGACTCTATTTATGTAAGTTCTTTATTATTACTTTTTGCAGCAAAATATCAACTTATATCAACATTTCGGTATCGAAATTTTGAAACTTTTATATAATATAATAATTTTTTGAATACGTTAATTGCAAAAATTAAAAAAAAATTAGTTTTTTTATATAAATATTCCAAAAATTTTTTAAATTAAAAAATAATTTTTTGACATTTAGGTACTTTGACAATTTTTATTAAAAGTTTTAACAAAAATAATGACTTTAACAACAAAATATTTTTTTTTATTACATTTTGAATTTTAAATTATAGAGAACAATTATAGTCTGCTTGAATTACTCAAACCAAAATTAAAAATATTTTGATATAAAATTTATAGTACGCGAGTTTAATTAAATCGAAATATATAAAAAAAACCATGTTCAAATCAGAATGCGTATTGTAAACAGACGGCTAATGAAAACTCCATTATGTTGGCATCACTGTAAATTATTTAATTTACTTTTCTTTTATCTATACATTACAATGGTGAAGTGGTGCTCTGTTCGTGTTCGACGACGGCGTAATTCTCCAAAACGCATACACAAAAAAAAATCAATTCTCCCATTAGAAAATAATATGTACATGAATAATATGATATGAACGATGTCTAGCAACTTATGATGTAAACTTGAGTGTAGTCTATTCTATCATCTCTCCACTCCAGTCTATACAAAAAGTTAGAAAACAAAAGTCAGCAGAAATAATTAAAAGTAAAAAAAACGCGATTCCAGACTGACCGCAAACAATAGAAATTTTTTTTTTATTAAAATTTATTAATTTAAATAATTGTAAAATTAAATTAAGAAGCAATTGTTAAATTTTTTTAAAGAAATTTTAATATATTCACTCTAAAATATTGGGAATAAACAAAAAAGAAGTTTTTACTTTTCTGAGAAAAAAAAAAAAAGAGAAAAAATGCTGAATAAAATTTGACGTGATTATTTTAATATTCAAAAAAATTATTTTGAAGGAAAAAAAAAGTGTATATATATATACGTAATTTTGTTATTATTTATTAAATCGTTTAATTTTTTTAAATTTTCAAATTCAAAATAATTGAAATTAATCAAAAAAAAATTTTTTTTTAACAAATTGGAAATATTAATTTTTATTTTTACAAAAAAAAATTTTTATATGCACACTATGAAATCTAATGTATATAATTTTTTAATTAATATGTAAATATATATAAATATGTGTATATATAAATAAATGGATATAGAAGATTTTATTATACATTAATATAAGACATTTGTGTACATACATATGTGTATAAAAAAAATGCATGCATATGTGTTGTAAATGCATATGATGATATGGTGGATACAAACACAAACATATGAATGTGGTGTATATGAGTGTGTGAGTGTGGTGGACATTTATATATTATATTTCGTTCGCCTAACAACAAGAGAAAAAGTGATTTTTGCATTTTATGGTATAGTTTTATTTTATTATTTAAAAAAAATTTATAAAATAAAAATAAATAAAAAATAATTATTTAAAATTGAAATTTTAAAAAAAGAATGTGACATTATTATTTCAAAGGGATTAAAATTTAATAGTTTGATTTGAATAAAATTGATTAAAATACAAAAAGTTCGGAATTTTGGAATGATGAAAATATGATACCAAAATATAAAAAAAAAAAAAAAAAATAATTCGCGCAAGTATGTATTTGTTTTAAGAGCAGCAGCGCTCCTATGTACAATTTTTATCAATTCGCTATATGTGAATATTTTTTTTTTTTAGTTATTAAATTTTCTTTTTGTTTTTTTTTTTTTGTTATTGCGTTATTAAAATATGAAATGAAATTTTTATAGGAGAAAAATAATGACGGTGGAAGAACGAACGACAGAATTTTTATTTAATTCATAATGAATTAAAATTGTACATATGAAAATTTTGTATGTTTGTAGATAGATATGTATATACATATATCTATATAAATAAGTGTATGTGCATGTGTGTATGTAGATACATGAAAATATTCAAATTTTTTTTTTAGAAAATACGAATGAAAATGATTGTACTTGTGTGTGTGTGTGTGTTTGATTATGATATCAATATACAATATACATTGAGAATTATATGCATATGTGTAGAGTGTATGGATTTGTGCGGATGTATAAAAGAATATAAAATTAATAAGAAAAGAAGAAACAAAATCAAATGTGCAAACACACACACACACATACACACACGCATACCTATTTATATTTTTCAATAAAATTTATATTTTGTAAAAAAAGAATTGATTAAGAGAAAAAAAACCAAAAAAAAAAAATGTGAAGACAAGAGAATTTTCTTTCATCACAAAAGAAAAACCAAAAAAAAGAAAAGCATTTTAATAAAAATGCTTTAATAAAATTCAAAAATTTCCCGAATTCGAATATTTCTCTATTTTGAGAAATTATTATTTACGTTTTTATAAATTATTGTCTGCTTTGCATTCTACATACCATCTGGGGATTAATAATATGAAAAGTGTTTCTCTATTTGAAGGAAAATTTAACTCAAAATGTTATACTAAAATTTTTATATGTAAATATGGAAAAATTTCAAAAGAAATGAGATGATCTCTGATGGATGAATTTTACAGGAAGAAGATGCTTCCAAATTAAAATTTCTTTTTTAATTCCATATAAATATGAATATATGTATACACATATGGACGTATGTACATACATAGTTATAAAAAATTTAAATATAAAATCGGTCACATAAAATATTTTTTGCATGAGTTCAGAGTTTCTTATACTTGGTAGTTCCTATTTCTACAGTATTATCAAATTTTTACTTTATTATTTTTTGCTTATTTTTACATAGAAACGCAAAATTATTAAACGTAAATATACAAAAAAAAATGCTATTTAAATTTTTTTAAATACATATTTACATATGTTTGTATGTTTGTACAAATTTGAAATGACACATCAAATTGTCTTAATTAATTTTTGTTGTTTTATTATTTTAAATTTAATATCCTTGTACTTGTACCTGTGTTTCGTGCACTGCTGCGTTTATATTTTTTAGGTTAAGTTACAAATATTAAAAATATAAAAAGAAAAATGTTAAATAAGGAATTATTTACTAATTAAGAAATTGAAATTGTAACCAAATTGTAGAATGGAATATTAAAGTTTCTTTTATAAAATTTTGAAATACCTATGTAATTACTTATTGCTTTATTTCTTTTAGATGTGTACGTATGTAAGACTTACGCACATGGCTAAATATTTAACAATCACTGAGCAGATGTTTTTAAATTACAACTTGAAATGAGATGTGATAAGGCTTTTGGTACCCTTGTAGTGCTTTGGTTTTAAGCTACCTACCTGAAGAGATTGATTATTGTGAGTGAATTTAAAGTCTAAAAGATGCACATGTAAAACTTCATTTAGTTTTTGCAAACTTAAAAATTTAATAATCCGTATATCTCTTACACTATTGTTTTCTTATTTATTATTGAGGAAGATATTTGCGAATCAGGTTGTTTGTGCCATAAAAATATTCACTTCATGTAGTAATTTTTAAATTATTTTC